GCAGATTGGTTAGCACGACAGGCAATATGAAAAATTTAAAAACCATCACCTAAACTAATTCAGTACGCGTAATTGATGTCAGTACTCCCCATGAAGTTCATCAAGCAGATGGTTTGCTTTTATCACATAATACTATCAAAATTGATAAACGTCGATCACGCATAGACAAGTACACGTAGACTGTCCTTGACATTGCAAGTAGATATAAGGAAGAAGAACCACTATTAATACCGATAACATTTATTTTAGAAATTAAAATGCACACTACGTTGTCATTACGTTGCACTGCGATCCAGCATAGGTAACCTCATAGTACTTTCCAAGCATATTTTTTTAAGAATGGAATGGTATAGTGTTAAAAACGTTGGATTCTAATATTGAGGCATGAGGTTCGATCCCGCGACTGATACATTAGCGGCGGTGGGCATTATCGCCAAATGTTTCTTAATAGTTGGATCTCCACTCAGTTACTCGAACTTCTACAGAAAAGTATAAACCCTCCACCATTTCACAACGAGGCGGATGCACTTGTGCTCTCCAGAGGTTGATTATGGGGGAATGGTCTGATTGATTTACAAAGCGTAGAGAATGTCCCGTTTATGTCTGTTCCGTCCCTAGAGATACGTTAGTTGAATTCTTATAGATAAGTTAGAATTAAGTTAATGTGTATCCTATGAACTTGCTAGGATGTCCTTGGGCAACCTAGGATTTCACATAGGGATTATTTCGAATGCTTTGGGCTTGCTAGAATATTGTTTGGTCATCTATTACTTCACATAGGGTTGTGCTGTGATTATATGTTTTGTAAATTTTTATTATTTTGATTTCGAAATATTTTATATATTTTTATTTTTATAAATATTATTCTGATTCAGAAATATTTTTATTTATATTAATATTATTCTGATCCAAATATATTTTTATTTGTATTAATATTGCTTTGATTCAGAAATATTTATTTTTCTGATTCAGAAATATTTTTATTTTGAATAAATATTTATTACATAATGAATCAAAACAATATTAACCATGTTATTGTAGCTATTAAGCAATTGCAACATGACGGTATAAGAATTTCTGATGAACTTAATCCTGAAAAATGATACGTAATTTTATTGCATTATAATTCATAAACTCCGAAAACATGCATACATTATCAGCCGATTACAGATTCAGATAAGTTACAGATGCTCAGATCAAACTATTTGTACCAATTGCACTTTCAATCGAAAACATTTGGTCAGAATCATCTCACGATTACTAAGCAAACAGAATTGTGAACGCTAGCATAAGACAACTGAACGAGATTATATCTGCTTGAATTGTCAGTGATGATATAGATTGTGAAAGCGATGTCACCAGTGACTGTACTGATGACAAAACTAACTCGATCACAGTAACCCTAGCATCAGCTAAACAAGAGGGGCAAATATAAAGTCAAAATATATTTATTCAGATAATTACTTTTGATTCGATAATTTTATTCTTATTCTGATAATAATATTTAATTAATTTTTATTTTAATCGGGTAAATTAGCCGTCATATTTTTCAGATTTTAATCGGAATTTCTTTTCTGGAGTACCAGCTTACCCTCTAAGTTAGGAAATTTAGTCAGATTTTTAGTAAAACAAGTCAGATTTATTCAAATATATTCAAATTTATTTTTTAATTAATAAAAATTTATTTATTCAGAATTTGAAATCAATCGGGTAATCCGTGGAAATTCAGTCAAATTTGTATTGTAATCGAGTAACTTACCCGCCAGATGTTTCAGAATTTAATCGACATTTCCTGTTTTAGTACCAACTTACCTGTCGAATTATGAAAATTTCAGTAAAAGAGTCAGATATATTCACATTTATTGAGTTTAATTTTTTTAGTAATACATATTTATTCAAATTTATTTTAGTTCTATGATCGTATATGCAAATTTATATTCAATTTTTCTCCTCGTAAATTCAAAAGGTGTGATTGTTGGTCAATAAGTTTGAAATGTATCCGAGATAAACGCAGATAATATACACGTAAATAACAACTAAATATCCTGATTGTACATTCGGAGTAATTGAGTATAAGATATATCTTTTCTGAGCCTGGTCGAATCTTTGTAAATATGCTTTATAACTTCCATCAATGATGTCACAAACAAAATTAACTGCAATTGTCGATGTTATATTTACAATGCCCAGTGACATATGAGTGATACTCACCGTATGGATTGTTGTTGTATTTGAGAATATCTGCCGGTGGGTTAATAAAATTAAGAACTTTTTTTAGCGATGTAAAGTTATTGACTATTGTTGTTGGAGCATCATCAGGTATAATCGATTTAAGATAATAATATATATTTCTAGTTAAAATATGTTTAAGATAATGGAAATCATACAATATTAAATTCAAGTGTCGAATTCTATCAAGGATGATTTATCTTGTGTCATCGCTATAACGTTGTGTCATGCTTTATTAACAACAATAATAGTTTCTTTACTAAAACGCCATTCTGGAGGTCTTTTTATGTACGTTTGTTTCTTCAGATCAGGAATATTTTCAGCGTTATCAATAAAATTATGAAAGTTCATGGGTAACTGTTTCTACTATAGACGGCTCATTTTCCAAGATAGCCAATCGATTCTTTAACTTGTCCAATAAGGATAGATTACTGTAGTATACTACCGAGTAGTTTTTTTTAAAATAGTTAAATGGGCTCTTAATAGGGCTGGAAGTTATCACTTTTGCAATGATACTTGAATTTTTGACACTGATGAATGTCAGGCTGATATGGACACAGTCCTATGCCAAAATATTCAAAATGACAACGAGAGAGATTAATTATGAAATTGTTTCGTTGAACAATTCTAAAAAAAAAACATTGTGTCACAAATAAGATGTTACTCGATACTTAACTGTATACATCAAGCGTTACTTGATTCGACGGTTCGGTTAGGGGCTTTTCGGCGCAGCAACACAAGTAGGTTATTTAGTGCTTTGCCGGAGGACACACCATGATAGCTGACTCACGCTGGTCCTAATTGTAGGATTCGAACCTAAACATATTTGATCGTGAATCTTTCACATTTACCACTGAGAGCTGTTTCACTTAGTTGAAACAGAAATTCTTAGTAAGAGGTTGATGATCAAATATTAAATTGGTTGAAGAGCTTAAAGGAATTCAAAGGGTCACATAGCAAGATGACCATACGATGAACGAGAATATCATGCAAAGGTATTACTGCTATGGAGAGAAAAGATTTTCTAATGTAGTTGCACAGTGCAACAACTGTAATACCCCAAGCCCCATCTTCATTAATCCGTTAATTATATAACACCATTATGATTTATAACGCTAATGCGCCTATAGAACATAGGACACCATGAGTAAGGAAAACATATATTTGTTATCACAAACCATCTTACTAAATGGGTGAAGATATTTCCTTTGGTTGATCGAGCAGCAGCGGAGGCTGTAGTCATTGCTATCATGCATAAAATTATAAGTCGGTGAGGCCGTCTAAATGATCTCCACAGTGATCAGTGTTCAAATTATAAAAGAAGACAATTTGAATAACTTTGCAAACTTCTACAGGCAAAGCGACGTAGACAGTATTAAGAATCCTAATGGCAAGTGGAGCAGCTGAACAAGATGTTTACAGATGATGACGAACTATCTATCCAAGAATCATATATTGGTCGCTTTGCTGACGCATCGAAATAAAAAGAGCCAGGACTAGTATTACTACTAATTTATTGATGTTGTATGTGAGATCAGGTTAGCCGCAGACGTTATTTCAACCATTTAAAAAAAAACAGTCCATCCCATGCAAAATATGTACAGTTCCTAGAGAAGATGATGCAGATGACTCGAAGTCAAGCTGGTAAATATGTAAAGGTTGCTGTCAAATTACAGCATTACTGGAATGGTACGATACGAAAAGTATGTTTACCAGTCAGGTGATCTGCTTCAGTACCTCAAGAGTAGATGAAGATAATCAATAATACATGATTCAGTCTCATGCCCAGGGCATTTATTGCCCTCTAGGTATGCATCATGCAAAGATTAAGGTAATAGCCCTCAGGAGAGGAATAGAAATATAATAGAGAATTGGGTTTACAATATAGTTTCAAATCTTGCTCTCTGATGCTACGGTAGATATATAAATTCACGTAGCCATCTTGTTTAGGTTTTATTTATATCAACAAATGTTCCACGGATTTATTAAATGCTTAATATAGTAATTCATGCTCACTTTCTGCGATGAGTTATTATACAACATTTCATTTTTTCATTTACATGAATACAATTTTAAATGCATTATATACTCTATTATGTACTCTAGACACGTTTAAAGTATCATCTATAATAATTTATCTTATCTGCTGATATATGGCAGTCATCAGATTGACAATATTTCTTCTTGGTTCATGTATACGGAATCAATGCGTTATAATTGCTATTCAATGAGTCATGTTCAACATATGCCCTTATTGCTACGTGTTAATGTTGGTGAAGACAATTCACATTAAGGAGAGGGTAATTTGTTTATTTAGCATGTTTACAACAGTGATTCAATGATGGGTGTGGTTTGTATCATCTTTATATATTAAACATGATCCCGTGACTGCTAGCAAACACGCGCATCTATTAATAGACAGCTTGAAAAACATTTAACCTTTAAATAGAGTATTTTGACAGGGGAGATGGGAAAGTCCCAAAGTGTCCCTATTTCTATATATGAAGTGTCGAACCTAGTGTGTGTGTGTGTGTGTGTGTTTATGATTTTTAACGTAGCTTTAACAATTTTTCAGTCATATCGCTACGATGTCTGCAGTGTGGCAGTTTATAGTGATGTCTAGCACTGGGGCATCTTGATGCAGACATGTAGCATGAGGTCCCACCCAGTCCCATTATCCTGACAACAGGCCAACCAGTCCTAACACTAACCTCTTAATGCTGAGTGTCAAGCGAGGCAGCTGTTAGTACTATTTTTGTACTTTTTTGTTATGACTCAACCGGGGATCGAACCCACGACCTCCCACATCCGAATAGGATGCTCTAACCACTAGGCCACCGGAGCGGTTGTCGAACCTAGATAATATAGTAGCAAAGTATATCGAGATTTTGAATGAGGCCTAGCTGAAACTGTTTTACTCATTAGTCTCTCAATTAAGTTCCAGTGTGTAATAGGCTTAAATAGGTCATATATATATATATATATATATATATATATATATATATATATATATATATATATATATATATATATATATATATACACGGATACACGGAATATGCATGTATCGATACGTACTAAATTTAACTCGTTATTATATAATATTGTACGTTGTGTTTAAACATTTCTAAAATACGTTGAGTTTGATTCTGAGTTATGGTCTTTCAGTTCTCATTTAAAAGTAAATAGGTGATTTCGTTTCAAGTCTGATGTAAATGTTATGTGTTGATTACTTTTTATGTTTCTGTAAAACTCTACTTTATATTTAAGTATTATGACTTTCGTTACACAATTCAGCAATCAGTATAAGTTTGCTGTATAATTCCAACCTTTTGCTACACTATAAACCCCGGATAAAATTAAATGCATTTTCATAGTAAAACCATTTGAATATCGACCCAACAAACAAACTTACAGTTATACAAGTGAAATTTCATAGTGACATAACACCTGATTTGACGATATAATTTTTCAGAAAAAGACAGGAACTGGGTTGGGTTAGGGTGTTGACTATCTCTCGTTCAAATACATATTTGTTATAAATTATGTTATATATGTAATGTATTAATAAGAATTATAATTATCATCATCATCATCATCATCATCATCTTATTATTATTATTATTATTATTATTATTATTATTATTATTATTATTATTATAAACATGCAGTTTTAATTCTATGCAGGAAGAGTTGATGTAAATCAGTTGCAGGTTTGCTAATCCAATAATCTAATTTTAGTGTTCTATTTACTTCAATGGTTGTGAATGAAATATATTTTTGTTTTCTTGGTTATCCAACAAACTGTATTTATTTTATTATCTTTCACCACTATCACACTATTATAAATCCAATATTTGTCTAATTTACTGTAATACTTACATAAGTTTTAAGCTGCGTATATATTGGCATCGGTTATTTCTGGCTGTGACTTTTTAATTATTTGTGCAATAATTTGAAGAGAGTTGTTAATCCATTACTTAGCAAGTATAGTCACGCGTACCCGCTCTCTCTCTCTCTCTCTCTCTCTCTCTCTCTCTCTCTCTCTCTCTCTCTCTCTCTCTCTCTCTCTCTCTCTCTCTCTCTCTCTCTCTCTCTCTCTCTCTCTCTCTCTCTCACACACACACACACACTCACACACACACACAAACACACACACATGCACACACGTGTAGATAACAAAATTACATACATTTACAGTGCTGACGGTTATATTTCCACGCGACACTTTACTGAGAAAATATAACTTAAGCAGATAGTAACCATTGTCTTTGAGAGAGGAGATACGTAGCTAAGGACATTGTTTGCAAACTAGGACATCCATGTATATTGTCAAGTAGATATACACATAGATAAGAAACAATTGATATTTTCTTTTACTAAGTTAATACCGGATATATTTAATTGTGCTATACAAGAAAAAATGATATTGATATGTGTGACAAATCTTGTTACAACTATATTGTTTTTGGTACCACAATACGATATATCATGTATTTATGTAACAAAGGAAAAGTTTTTTTCATTATGTACCAAACATGCTCAAAAATAGAGGCTTAGAAGATTCAACTCACTCTTCGGCACAAAACCGCTACCATTCCCTTTCGTAAATTTACCTTACTGAGCGACTGATTATGAAAATGCGAGTGACCTCGGAGGGAAAACTTTTCGCACCCATGCGACAAAGAAATCAACCTGTTTCGCTAAGCTTACTTGCTTTTCTTATCTCAGTCTGGTTGCCTGAGTTGGGTCGTTTCAGTCATGGTATTTACTCGCTAGGAACTACATTTAAAAGTAGAAACCATTGACTTCTGCTATACCTGACGGAGTTGCAACAAAATTAATCAACAACAAGAACAAGAGAGGCATATAAAAAGAAAATCACTCATCAAGCAAATTAAGGTATCCAACTTTGATAACACACCTTACAAAACATTTGAGATAGAGACTCATGCGTACACGAGGTCGAGCTATTTGATATTTCACTAGAAACTATAGTTCGTTCCACACAGCATGGTGAAGTTTATCAAATATGTAACTCAGTAAATATTCAGGTCAGCATGATCAATTGTAGCTTAAAGTGCCTAATTAGTTTGAAATAATTTTAAGTCTCACATCCTAATAAGTCATAACCAGTAGGACTGAGTTGACCTAATCTGTCACAGTAAAGTACATTTTATATATTTTGTAAACCATTTGAATCAGTTTAAAAAATGGTAAGTCATATTCAGCAATATACCACGACTGGTTTGCTATTGTTGCAAAGGGAATAAGGGAGATTTACTTCAGGGAGACGCAAACCGCGTTTAGTCAATTCCTTGAGTGAAAATTAATTTCCATACCTGAAATGTAATACACTTTCATTTGTTTATTTGTTCTGGCTCATAAAGTGCTCGTATTTGTCGCTTATAGCTTCTGTAGGCACACACGTAAAGTGCCGCGTGATATTATGAGAAATAATATTTCCACAAAAATAAAAAAATGAAAGTTATCCCGCCAACGAGCTGCTATATATCTCACACATTAAGATAAAATTCATATATTCAATCTGGTGTTGCAATACATATAAATGTTAGAAATGTGTATCTACTTTTTTCTTCCAATTTTCTATAATATGTGAAGATAGTTTTGGAAGTTAGTCTGTGTTCCGTGTAGGTGTTACACAAGACTAAGTGCCCTTCCTTTGTTATGCGACTATTTGTGTCATTTCATGATGAAAATGAAGTTGTGTCCCAGTTTGAATAACTTGTATATAAATTCGGAGTTGATTTCCATCCTGGAGTAAAATGAATAATATATTCAATGATCCTTTCCGGTCATAATATTCATCACGACTCTTACCACAGTTGGTAAGGAAAATATAATTGCCTTCATATTGACTCACGTTGCGGGACTTAGGTCAAGTTGAGTAACTTTATAGCTTGCCATCGACCTGCTAACACATTTATCCTACATAAAAATTATTTATCTTTTTTTCCCCAGCATTTAAACGTATAATAAATATTTTGTCTTTGAAAAGGTAAAATAGTTACTGTGCAGTATTACCTAACGCAGTCAATAATATCCAGCTTTAAAAGAATTAAAAATGTTATTTACAACAAATGTAGAAATTTCTTTTTGATTACCCGCATATGTTGTTCCTAAAAAGGGAATTTTTATTTTAAGTATTCCATTGCGCTCTAAATGGTACAAACTTGAGTGGGTAGCATGGGGAATCTGCCAAGCATATTTTTTTATTTCTAAATGTCGAGGGATAAGAAAATGCTAAAAGAAATTTAAGTATTACCATCTCAGAGAACGCAAATAATAATTAGTTTGTCAAAACGGTTCACAGTTAAGATGACTCAAGTTTAAAGTTTTCAAGAGGGTGATAAAAAAAATTTCATGAGTCTAGCATGAAAGCAACAATGGCGGTATAAAGAGACAATGTTTATTTGTTTATAAGTTTGAACGCGTTAATTAAAGAATATATTTGAAGAGAACAAAACTTATTAATCTATTGATCTTAAATATCGATTTCAAAAATAAAAAATTCCTCAATGCATAGCAAAAGATGCTGACTCGCATACTTCTTTCTGTGATGATAATATTTAAATAAAGATAAGACAGTGGAGTTGGAGGAAGAAATAGATTATGTATTTGATGTGAATAAATATACAAATTTGCATTCCTTTAAATCTACAACACAACTTAAAGATCTGCAAACTTTATTAGGTCAATCTCCAACAATTCAAAAAATAGAGATATAATTTTATCTATGGTAAAGTTGAATTTAATGCACAAGTGGTAATTCATTGTAAGACAGGTTATATCTTTCTTTAGTAAGATCCATAAAAAAATGCTTACACAAAATCAATCAATTGACGGAAGAATAGTGGTAAAGCACAAATCAGTCAAAGTGTACCGAATGAATGGCTAACTGAACAATCCACCTACACATTTACTCAAGCATTACAGTAAAGTAAATAGACACATTAGAGAGGGGAATCAAGAAAGAGATACATGGGAATGCAAAATAATTGAGGTTCAGTGTGTTTCTACATATAAAGTCGATATCAGACTAAAAATGAAAATCTACATAATAAGCATGAGATTTAAAAATAAAAAAAGAATAAAGTACTATATCCGTGTCCTATAGTTATATTTTCACGTGCATACCAAACAGAAGTCGTTAATGTTTACATTTTATAATTTAACAGCGAAGATTCAATAAATATGTACGAATAATCATGTAATATAAACTTATGTCAAATCGAATAATGCATTACCTCTAATTAATATCGTTGGACACATTAATGAGTTAACGCAATCCAAAGCATTCTTTGAGTTGGGAATAACCTCTACCTTTTAATACTGATATCGAAGAAAGGTATTCCAACGGTTGATAAATAATTCGTGAAAAAGCGATAGGAAAGCACAGAGGATATAAAGGAAGTAACAACATTCATGTGTTAAAAAAAACATTATGAGGATGATATCCTACTGTCAAGATGGCAGAGTCTGTACATAGCATTTAGGTTAATGCGACTGTGTCGCCAGCATAAGTGTATCTGACACGACTATCTATTCAGAAATTTAGATTGCATTTCTTACCAATGCTTTACCGACATGATTGCATGTGGCTCATTGCACTCGTAAGACAATAATTCTGAACAATTAAACAAAGAAATATTTATTTATATTGATACTAGTGGTCAATGGATTTACTGTAGGGTGCATTTGGAAGTAGTTTATGAATCTATAATTCACTTCATTTCTATTCTAAGGCTGCTATTTTTCCCTCAAGTCGTAATGAATTTCATGTAAAGGCCTTCTTCATATCCTCATTATACAAGCCATGGACC